AGCTCAGGTTCACATGCTGACATTCTTAACCACAGCCACTACTGAACAGGATGAGTGAATCCTGATTATGAGGGTTTTACTGCTTCTCAGCTCAGCATCTAAACTGATGAGATAATCCATGGGAATGAGTTGAGGATTGCTCATACCAATCACAAAGCAACCAGTTACTCATACTGGAATGAAATCAACTCAAAGCCTGAACTGATTCCCCACCAAAACAGAAATTTCTCATTTTTTTCTCATTATGAAAGTAATAAACACTATTTTTTCACATATGAAAAAAGATAAATTTAAGAAAATAAAAATTAGCAGAACTAGTCATTGCTTACAAGTTGAATATTAGTGATTTTTCTAGATTTTTTCCTACTCATTCATATGCATGCATTGTGAAAAACTGAAATTACATTCTACTTTGTTTCATAACCATTTTTTTGTTTAACAACATGATGTAAAGCTTTAATTCATTGTTTGGTCGACTCACAATTAACTTCAGTTTATTGCCAGGGTCCCGTATACCCAGTTTTAATTTTTGAGTTTTTTTGTCGAGAAGTTTAAATTATTTGTAAAAATTAGTATTTCATGACTTTTATACTTTCTTAGAGATTGTATAAATTTCCTCGGCAGCCATATTAAATTACCACAAACTGGAGGGCTTAAAAACAACAGAAACTTAATTCTCTCACAGCTGAGGAGGCTAGAAGTCTGAAATTGAGGTGTTGGCAGAACCACGCTCCATCTGAAGGTGCTAGGGAAGAATCCTTTGTTGACTCTTCCTAGTTTCTGGTAGCTCCCATCAATTCTTAGTATTCCTTGGCATCACTTCCATCTCTGCCTATCTTCACATGGCCTCCTTCCTCTGTGTGCACCTCATCTGAGCCTGTGTATCCAAATCTCCCTTCCCCTTTGTCTTATAAAGATACTAGTCATTGGATTTAGAGCCTATGCCACTAATCAAGCATTTTAATTTGATTACATCTGTGAAGACCTGATTTTAAAGTAAGGTTGCATTCATAGGACTTGTCTTTTGGAGGGAGAAATTCAAGCCACTACAGCCATAAGACAGAAATTTTTTCTCTTCTAATAAAATAAAACCACCAATCCTTTACATGAATCTAAGATGCACATGGATTTCCTGTATATTGAAACATTTTGCTATTTCAACGTCCTAGAAATTATTTTATCATCAATTAGTCCTAATTAGGTTAAAAAGGGTAAACTATTATGAAAATGGAAGAATGATGGATGCCTAAGATAAACAGTGGATAAGAGAAAGATGTATAGTGGGATAAATCATTACTATTCTATCACCCTCAGTTTTCTCATTATAGTGCATAAAGTACCTACCCAAGTGAAATGAAAACATGTTCACACAAACACTTGTACTCAAATGCTCATTTTAACATTACACATAAGAGCCAAAAAGTAGAAACAACCCAAATATCCATTACCTCCTGAATGGATTAAAAAAATGTGGTATACTCATAATGGAGTATTATTTGAAAATAAAAAGGAATGAAGAATTGATACATACTACAACATGGATACACAATGAACATACTATGCAAAGTGAAATAAACCAACCACAAAATAAAATATAAGAGTGGGCAAAAGTAGGTTTACAATTGTAATACAAATATATAATACAATAAGAAATAATACTGCAAGAATAAACTCTACATACTCACAACTGAAAACCTACTTTTGCCCACGCCTATATATTGCATGATGTCATTTATATGAAATACCTAGAATGGGCAAATCTGTGGAGACATAAAGCATAAAGCAGATGACCAACAGTTGCCTAGGGTGGGAGGGATGATAGGTAGAGAGTGCTAATGGCAAAAAAGTTTATTTTGGGGTGATAAAGATATTCTCAAATTAGATTATAGTGATTTTGAACAACTCTGAAAATCTAAAACCCACTGAATTGTTCACTTAATTTTTTTGTAATTAAGATTTTATTAAAGAATTTTTTTCATGACTGACTATACAATTTTTACTGTCATTTTTGTTCACTTTAAATTGGTGAATTTTATGGTAAGTAAATCATCTCTCAATAAAGCAGTTCTAAAAATTTGACTTTGCTATACTTAAATTCATATTAATATTAGAATAAAGTTAGTTTTCACTATTCCCTTATTTTACTTCTGTAAATTATTCATACTATAACTTTAAAATATTTATTTTTAAAATATATTTTATTGATTATGGCTTTACAGTTGTCCCATTTTTTTCTCCCCTTTATTCTCCTCTGCCCTGCACCCCCCTCTCCCACCAGCATTCTCCCCCTTTAATTCATGTTTATGGGTCGTACATGTAAGTTCTTTGGTTTCTCCTTTTCCTATACAATTCTTAACCTCCCCCTGTCTATTTTGTACCTACTATTTATGCTTCTGAATCCATGTATCTTTCCCCCCATTCTCCCCCACCTCCTCCCTGCAGATAACCCTCCATATGATCTTCATTTCTGTGATTCTGTTCCTGTTCTATTGTTTGCTTAGTTTGTTTTTGTTTTTCAGTTCAGTTCTTCATAGTTGTGAGTTTGTTGTCATTTTACTGTTCACAGTTTTGATCTTTTCCTTAGATAAGTCCCTTTAACACTTTATATAATAAGGGCTTGGTGATGATGAACTCCTTTAACTTTACTTTATCTGGGATGCACTTTATATGCCCTTCCATTCTAAGTGGTAGCTTTGCTGAATAGAGTAATCTTGGATGTATGTCCTTGCTTTTTGTGACTTTGAATACTTCTTTCCAGCCCCTTCTTGCCTGTAAGTTTTCTTTTGAGAAATCAGCTGATAGTCTCATGGGAACTCCTTTGTAGGTAACTGTCTCCTTTTCTCCTGGTGCATTTAAGATTCTCTCCTTATCTTTAATCTTGGGTAACTTAATTATGATGTGCCTTGGTGTGTGTTTCCTTGGGTCCTACTTCTTTGGGACTCTCTGAGCTTCCTGGACTTCCTGGAAGTCTGTTTCCTTTGTCAGATTGGGGAAGTTCTCTATTATTTTTTCAAATAAGTTTTCAATTTCTTGGTCTTCTTCTTCTCCTCCTGGAACCCCTATGATTCAGATGTTGGAATGTTTAAAGTTGTCCTGGAATTCCTAAGCCTCTCCTCGTTTTTTTGAATTGTTTCTTCATTCTGTTCTGGTTAAATGTTTATTTCTTCCTTCTGCTCTAATTGGTTGATTTGAGTCCCAGTTTCCTTCCCTTCTGTTGGTTCCCTGTATATTTTTCTTTATTTCACTTTGCATGGCCTTCACTTTTTCCTCTCTTTTGTGACCAACTCAACCACTTTTGTGAGCATTCTGATCACCAGTGTTTTGAACTCTGCATCTGATATGTTGGCTATTTATTCATCGCTTACTTGTATTTTTTCTGGAGTTTTGATCTGTTCTTTCATTTGGGCCATATTTCTTTGTCTCAGCACACCTGTTATGTTGTAAGAGGAGGAGCCTTAGTTATTCGCCAGGGTGGGGCCACCCATGTCGCTGAATTGTGGCACTGTATGAGGGGGGAGGGGTCAGAGAGGGAACAATGCCACTTGCTCAGCTCTTGGCTGGATTTCAGTCACTTCCCCCTGCTATCCACAAGCAAACGGGGCCCTTCTGGTGATGATTACCAGGTGGGTGGGTTTGTATATATTCTAGGACCCTGTGGGTCTCTCCAATGAACTCTCCTGGGAGGCTGGAAGTTTCTCCTGCTGCCACAATCCCCACAGATTTTTACAGCCAGAGGTTTTGAGGCTTTCTTTTCCCAGGCTGGAACTCTGGGTTGTGCGGTCTGTCTCGCTCCTCAGTTGCTCCTCCCAGTTTATCTGCACATAAATGTGGGACTACCTGGTCTGCCAGCTGCCACCTCACCCTCCTGATCCTCCAGCTGCTGCCCTGCCACATGTCCTCTCTTCCCCAGTTGCCCACCTCCACCCTTCCTACCAGTCTGGATGGATGTTTCTTCTTTAACTCCTTGGCTGCTGAAATACAGTGCAATTTTCTGGCAGTTCTGGTTGTTTATTTTTAAATTTTTTGTTGTCCTTCTTTTGGTTGTGTGAGGAGGCAAACTGTATCTACCTACACCTCCATCTTTGCCAGAAGTCTGATCAAAAATATTTCTTAAGAATTTTTTAAAAAAGACTAAGGTCCAGCCCTGGCTGAGTGGCTCTCTTTTGGTTGGAGGGACATTGCACATGAAAAGTTTGAGGGTTGATTCCCGGTGAGGGCACATATCTAGGTTGCTAGTTCAACCCCCAATTGGGGCATGTACAGGAGGTAATGGATCCATTTTTCTCTCTCACACTGGTATTTCTCTTTCCTTTTCTCTCTCTCTGCTGCCTCCCCTTCCTCTCTACTCTCTAAAATCAATAAACACATCCTCAGGTGAGGATTGGGAAAAAAAAAAAAAGGAATAAGGTCCATTACCCCATATGGTAAATGATGACTATTTTCTAGGTATACTGAGGGTTAACCAATCTTCATAAACAGACATTTAGATTGTTAGTAATTTTTTACTAGTAAAAATAAAATTGCTTTTAACATTCTTGTTTACACATCTTGACAAAATTGTCAGAACATTTTCTTAAGAAAAATTCCTAGATATGAAATTCTTGGTGAAAAGGAATTTCTCTAGAGAGGCCAGGCCTATTTATATTTCCAATGGCAATGTTTAAAGGAAAAACATGTTTTATCTTGAAATAGGCTTGACTCTGAGAGCTTAGTAAAAAAAGTCCCTAATAATGAAAAAACACCTGTAACAAAATGCAAATATAAACAGAACATAACCAATAACAACAACAAAAATGATAAAAAAAACTTTAAGCTTTCCTCCAATTCTGGCTTTAAGTGATAGGAAATGAAAATTTTTATTAGATGACATTTCTTAGTTGTTGGTTTTGCAATTTAGAACATTTTGAATTATCCCAGAATGAGAGAATATAAATTATATTTGCAGGATGAATGTAATAAAAACACTTGCTTAAAAAACATTGCAATGTCTGAGCAGCACCATGGCAGTCAGGAAGAACAAGCTCCTTATGAAAGGCGACAAAAAGGGAGCCAAGAAGGAGGTGGTGGATCAGTTTTCTAAGAAAGATTGGTATAATGTGAAAGTACCTGCTATGTTCAATATAAGAGATATTGGAAAAACTTTAGTCACAAGAACTCAATGAACTAAAATTGCACCTGGTGGTTGTGTTTTAAGAATAAGCCCAGCTGATCTACAGAATTATGAAGTTGCATTTAGAAAATTTAAGATAATTATTGAGGATGTCAGGGCAAAAACTGCCTGAGTAATTTCCATGGAGTAGATCTTACCTGTGACAAAATGTGCTCCATGGCCAAAAAATGGCAGATCATGATTGAAGCTCATGTTGATGTCAAGAAACCAATGGTTATTTCCTTTGTTTATTCTGTGTTGGTTTTACTAAAAAACACAACAATCAGATTCAGGAGACCTCTTCTGCTCAGCACCAACAGGTCCGCCAAATCCAGAAGACGAAGATGGAAATCATGACCTGAGACATGCCAACAAATGTCTTAAAAGAAGTGGATACTAAACTGATTTTAGATAGCATTGGAAAAGACACAGAAAAGGCTCGTCAATCTATTTATCCACTCCAAGATATCTTTCTTTAAAAAGTAAAAATGTTGAATAAGCCCAGGTGTGAACTGGGAAATCTCATGGAGCGTCATGGTGGAGGCAGCAGTTCTGGAAAAGTGACTGGAGATGACACAGGTGCTAAAGTTGAATGAGCTGATGGATATGAGCCACCAGTCCAAGAATGTTTAAAATTTGGACTTTTAATGGTGACAAGAAATTCTATGTGTGATAAGAAAAAAATAAAATAAAAACCATATTACAGCTCTGTCTGCTGAGAAGGCTTGGAAACAATAATCCCCCCCATAGCAGCAAGATACCCATGACTAAATCTTGGTCTAAATACTATTTTCTCATAAAAGAAACCAGCGCTCTTTGGAGAAATGGCTGATTCTAGGGCTAGGATAGGAAAATTTAAATATAAGCCTGGGATATTGCCAAACTTGGAAGCAACCAAGATGTCCTTCAGTAGGTGAATGGATAAACAAACTGTGGTATAATATATTCAGATAATGAAATATTATTCAGTGCTAGAAAGAAATGAGCTCTCAAAAATATGAAAAGATATGAAGGAAACTTAAATGCATATTATTAAGTGAAAGAAGCCAATCTGAAAAGACTATATATTAAATGATGCTAATTATATGACATTCTGAAAAGGCAAAACTTTGGAGACCATAAAAAGATTAGTGGTTGCCAGGGGTTAGGAGAGAGGGAAGGATGAATAAGAGGAACACAGAGTGCTTTTAGAGAAGTGAAACTATTCTGTACGATACTGCAATGATGGATATTTGTCATTATACATTTGTCTAAACCTATAGGATATACAATACCAAGAATGAACCCTGATATAAACTACTGACTTTTAATGATGATAATGTGTCAGTGTAGGTTCATTAATCATAACAAAATAAATGTATGAATCAATCAAGCTGGGGTATCTTACAGTACCAGGGAATAAGGAAGTATTCAAAAAACAAAAGGACAGGAGCATGTCAGAGGGATACAAGAGTGAATCTGAAAGAGTTCCTAACAGCTATAAAACTAAAACAGTTTGAGTAACAAAATAAGTAATACAGAATTGAAGTATATCCCAAACTATAGAAAAAATATATATAAATCCATCCTGACATAAGTGGTTACATAAGTAAACATACAAAGGTAAAGAGACAACAAATCTTCCATACAGAACAATTCTGAATACTCTTCACTCCTTGGAGGTAGTGTTTAATTCCACCCCTCACTTCCCACTCCCCATTCCCACCTCCAGTGAGACTGGACTAGACTTAGTGACTTACTTCCAAAGAACAGAGTAGAGGAAGGGACAAATAGTACATTTTCAGTGGGGAAATTTGGCAAATACCAGCTTATCCAAATAATGAAACTTAATACCACCATATGGATATCATATATCCTGTGATATGATGTGATGAGAACATTTTGCCTCTGTGGTGTTCTTCCCCCAAAATCCACATAACTCCGGTCTAATCATGAGAAAAACACCAGACAAATCCAGTTTGGGATATATTTTGCAAGTCATGAGAAACAAGGAAAGACTAAGAAACTGTTACAGACCAGAAGAGAGTGGGAAGCATGACAACTAAGTGCAATGTGGTACCCTGAATTGGATCCTGGAAAACAAAAGAGGCATTGATGGGGAACTGGTGAAATCCAAATTAGTTAATAGTAATGTACTAACACTGGGTTCTTAGTTATGACAAATGTACCATGGTAATGTAAGATGTTACCTATGAGAAACTGGGTGAGAGGTATAATAAAAAGTCTGTCACTATCTTTGCAAGTTTTCTATATTTAAAAATTATTAAAAAATAGTCTATTTACAACAACAAAATTAACTTTTAAAGGGTGAAAGATTTATACGATCTGAAGAGAAACCAGAGCATGCAAAATTAACTTTTAAAATGGAGCCATAAATCCGCTAAACCGACATGGATATCCTTTTGGAAAATAGTAACCTTTTAAATTTAACTACAGTTTACTCCACTTTAAAAGTCTTAAATAAAATTTAAGAAAAACAAAGCTAAGGGAAAGAAAACTAAAAATTTCTTATTAGAGATTAAATCATGTATTAATCTGAGACATGGTGTACTGTATATTAATAGTCCTAGAAATATTCACATTAAACTAGGAACATTTGACTGACATTATTAGAAACACTCCATAACACGTTTAAAAAATACAAAAACATCATATTCTGCCAATTTAATCTTCTGTCAAGTTTCACTGTACACTGTGTTCTGTGGTTCATTGCACTTTACTGGGAAAAAGGGAACATATTTAATCCACTAGTGATTTTATAATAGAGAAACTAACATTTCATAAATTTACACCTTTCATGTATTATGACACTTCTAAGGGGAGGATAGATAACTTTATAGATAAAACAACTTTACAGAGAAACAAATGAACATTGAAAGGCTGTTAGAAAAAGGCTATCCAAAACTTGGATATAATGCCAAAAGGTAGACAGCATGTCCCTTCAATATAATACGGGGACACAGACTCACTCAGAGGTTATTTAATTACTTAGAGGAAGGTACTTTCTCAATTATTCTATTTACTATTGAATTAAATATCCCAGATTAAACAAAGTTACATGTTAACTTGTAGATTTTGTCCAGTAGGGTTGTAAATAGTATCTGTCAGATAGAACACAAAATTCCAAAGGTCAGGGATTATTGGTCTGTAGGACATTAACCAGTTTGTAACTAACCTAACAATCTTACTCTAAAATTCCTTTATTAAATTGTCTATGAATACACAGCTCCTCAAATGTTCTTTGAACTAGCCTTACTATTTTACCTATTCCCTCAGAAATTAATGAATAAAACATTTGATACATGTTAACAATATTTGTATGAGTCATATTTTATTTTTTAAATTATACTTTGACAGGCATAAGAAACTGGTCAATTACTGGAGACAAAGATACATAATGGGGTAAAGACAGTCTCTTCAACAAGTAGTGTTGGGACAACTGGACAGATACATGAAAAAAAATGAAATTAGACCATTTTCTTAGACCATATACAAAAATTAACTCAAAATGAATTAAAGACTTAAATTTGAGACCTAAGACCACAAAATACAAAACACCCCAGAAGAAAACATAGGCAGTAAACTGTTTGATATCACTCTTAGCAATAACTTTTTGGCTATGTCTCCTGAGCGGGGAAAACAAAAGGAAAAATAAACAAATGGGTCTGCATCAAACTAAAAAGTTTCTGCCCAGTGAAAAACAACCATCAACAAGACAAAAAGACATCGTACTGAATGGGAGAAGGTATTCACCAATGCCACATCCAATGAGGGGTTAATATCCAAAATATAGAAAGAACTCACACAGCTTAACAACAAAACAAACAAACAAACCCCTCCCCCCAAAAAATCTGATTAAAAGATGGGCAAAGGACCTGAATAGACATTTCTCCAAAGAGAACATACAGATGACCAATAGACATATGAGAAGATGCTCAACATCGCTAATCATCAGGAAATGCAAATTAAAACCACACTGAGATATCATGTCACACCAGTCAAAATGGCTATTATTAATAAATCAACAACAAGTGTTGGCAACGATGTGGAGAAAGGGAACCCCTGTACACTGTGGGTAGGATTGTAAATTAGTGCAGCCACTATAGAAAACAATATGGCGATTCCTCAAATAATTAAAAACCGACCTGCCATACAACCCAGTAATTCCACTGATGGGTATTTACCCAGGGAAAATGAAAACACTAATTTGAAAAGATATTGCACCTCTATGTTCACTGCAGCATTACTAGTAATACCCAAAATATGGAAGCAATGTAGCTGTCCATCAACAGATGGATGTATAAGCAAGAGGTGATATACATAGGGGTGGGAACAAGTAGGTTTACAGTAATTAATAAAGTAGATTTACAATAACTAATAAATAATGACATAAGAATAAACTTTGTTTCACATACAAGCAAATGGAAATCTAATTTTGTCTACTCCTGTACAATACACACAATGAAATATTACTCAGCAATAAAATAGAATGAAATTTTGTCTAACATGGATGGACCTAGAGGGTAGTATGCTAAGTAAAGTAAGCCAAACAGAAAACGATAAATACTGTATGATTTCACTTATATATTGAATCTAAAAAACCCAAAACAAATAAATGAACAAAACAGAAACAGACCCCTAGATATAGAAAGTAAGCTGATGGTTGCCAAAGGGGAGGGGACCTTTGGGCAAAGGGATAAAAATAAAATAATTTAAAATTAAAGAAAAAAACCTCTACACTTTGTCAGACATTAGGTACTTTCCACGACATGCCTGGCAAGGCCCTCCCTCCCTCCCCCACAGCTCTGCATATCCTGCAATCTCACAGGCCAATTATGACGACAGTTTTTCTGTACAGTATTCTAATAATATTGTCAATTATTTGGTTATTGAAATTGTCAAATAATATGTTTCTGCCTCAAAGAAAAATCAGAAAAGAATCTAAGTATATATTATTTTCAAGATCATTTTTACTACACAATTGACTTTCCATCCTGACAGTAAAGTATGTACAGTAAAATAAATATGAACACTATTCTCTTATAATTCCTCTGAGTTTTCCCACCTGTACATTTTAAGAACAATGGAAAACATATAAAGATTCCTTTGTTTTCACTGGAGCCATTTCTTCAAGAGATTTTTAAGTCTCAACCCCTATATGAGAAAACAAAGATATAGAAGACTCAGTACTTGCTGAGTCAGTATTAAGAAATTGCCCACAAAATTGCAGAGTATAATATTTACACAGGACTTTAAAAATCTTGTCCAATTCCTTGTTTTAAAGAAAAGTTGGAGCCATGGCCAGCTACCTCAGTTGGTTAGAGCATTGATTCGATACGCCAGGGTTGTGGGTTTGATCCCTGGTCAGGGCACATAGAAGAAACAATCAGTGCACAGGTAAGTGGAACAATGGTGTTCTCTCTCTCAAATCAATAAATAAAATAAAAATAAAAAAGGAAAGGATAGCTGGGTTGAAAGGGGTATACAGACTTTCCAGAGATTTGAGTCCCTAAAATTAATGTGATTTGTCTTCAAAGACTTTCTACCTTGTCACATGTCTCTCATGATGGCTTTGTAGGTTAATTTTCTTTATGTAAACCAATCACTGAAAATATTTTTCTTCTACTAGTTTCAAGTAGTTTTCTTTTTTTAATGAAATGGGCTAATTCCTGGTTCAGGTGTGAACTATAACATTATTTTCAAAATATGTTTATTATACTTAAAATTTTCATTAAAAATATTGTAAAATTTAAAAAATCATAGCTTAGTATTTCCAGTGTTATATTTTTCACTAAAAACAAAAGTCTAGACTAATGTGATCTTTTTTTATGTAAGAAAGTTGGATATTGTCATGCCAATCTAAATATACTTTTGGTGAATCCAAGTGGACTTATAATAAACACAAATTTCCATTTTTAGGCTTTAGCATTGGGAAAGGAAGCATTATTTCACTCTCACTCAACACATAATCAGTAATACATTAAAGTAAAAGGGAAAAGAAAATTCTGTACCCTGACATCACTTCTAGGTGAAGTTGTCCTGAGACAGTTAAGAAAGCAGGAACATTGAAGAAATTCTCTTCAGGTACTTTCATTTTGCTTGAAGGCTGCAAATGAAAAACATAAACCACAAAAAACTATTACATGCTTTGTCCACTTTGCACATTTACATACATGCCACAACAAAGAATCATAATGCAATTAAACAATGTGAGACCAGGTTATTTTCATAAAAATAAAGGTAGTTCTCAGTATACACCTAAAGAGAAAAACGGCTCCTTGGGAAATACTTAGGTCAAGGAAGTTTCATACATATTTTCCAAACACACAACAACCAAATAAAGTACTTTTGTCACAAAATAAACTACATAAGAAATGATTCTGATTGAGGGGCAAACCAAGGCAAGAGATTATGAATTAAAAATTTTAAATGTGAATAATTATAGAATCTGTTAAAATTTTGACCCATGATTAAGATTTAATTTTCTTAAGGAAATGGCTTCTAGAACTATTATTAATAATAATAATGCTCTAAATACAGATTTTATAAGCACATTATAAATTTTAAAACACCTTATTTCATTTAATAGTCATCAGTACCAGGAGGTAAGAGCTGGGCCCTATTTTTAAAATACATGGTAAGTAATTAGATTTAAAAATCTTTATGAACTTAAAATAATAAAGTGATTATTCCATTTGAAATGGGTAGCAAACAAGCTAACCAATATTTATAACAGTTAAGCTAAAAAATTATTTGGAGGTCAAACACAATTCAAAGAGTATAATTAAGAAATTTCTTGGATCAAGTTATGACTATTATACCAATTTTTTTTGGAAAAAAGCCAGCTAATTTACCAAATATTTTATTTTAAATTGTGCATTTATTTGCAATGTTTTATTGTAATGGTGCAGTTACTATAAAATTAACAAAGTCAATTTTAAATATGCAATAGAGGATGCAGGACTCCTTTTAAGAGAGTAAGTACCAAATACTGAATTATAGAAACACATGAAATGAAGACATCTTATTTAATTCCATTGGTTGTTCTAAAAACATTGCATATCATATACAGATATACATGTGTATTAATGAGAAATTTAATGTAAAAATTACCAATTGAAATCATTCACTTATTTTGTAATTGGCTATTATTTTTCAAACCTACTTTGATATTGGTTTTAAATGTCCAATCATTGCTTTTTTAATAATAATATAATGATATTAAATATACCAAATTTTAGATTTTACATTTTTCAAATATTTATCAGTTTAGTTTTATAAATTAAGTTTATTGGGGTGACATGGGTTAATAAAATTATATAAGTTTCAAGTGTACTACTGTTGCTTTTTAAAAATCCATCTTTAAATTCCCATTATCACAGAAAGAGTATTGTTTCCAAGGAATTAAATACTCAAGACTGAACTATTTGACTTGATACATGTTAGGATTTCAAAATAAAAGATATGTTCTCTGATATTTCTTCACTATTTGCTAAATATTTCTCAAATAAGGCCCTGAGCATAAGAATATTATACTTTCTTCTTTTTTTTAGTTTATAGATATTTATAATTTATAGGCATATTATACATTTTAATTAAAAGTATTGAGGATATTTTTATTTTATAATAATCACCTTTACCATTTCAGTGATTATGAATGAGCCTGTCCATTGACAAATATACCATAATTTATTATTTTTTAATTCCTAATATGGGCCTTTGAGTTATTAACGAATTGTTAATATATGTCAATATATTAATAACAAATTGTTATTATATGTTAATATATTAATAAACAAAGCTATTAATAGTATACTTAAGTCATAATGATATTTAAACAAATTTTTTAAATAAAATCACATTTAAAAGTATGCATTTTCTAATGCTCTGAAAGTGCCAACTACACCTTGCTCAGCAGCCTCCCACAGAGTTGTTTTGATTAATAATTAATGATAAATGTTAAGAATCATTGCCCTTTTTTTGTCATTGATTTCTTTTGCTGTGCAGAGCTTTTTTGTTTAATATAGTTTTATTCATTCATTCATTCATTCATTCATTCATTCATTTTTGCCTTTATGTCCCTTGCCTTTGGGGTCAAATTCATAAAATCTTCTCTAAAATCAAGGTCTATATGTTAGTACCTATGTTTTCTTCTATGTAATTTATTATTTCAGGTCTTGTATTTAGATCTTTAATCCATTTTGAGTTAATTTTTGTACATGGGGACAAAAAGCAGTCTAGTTTCATTCTTTTTCCTTCACCTTTTCAGACTATAATTTGTATTGGACTTTTATCCCAACTTCTCCCTTCCTGTACATAAAAAAAAAAATCTAGCTTTTATAACTAGATTTTAGTCTTTCATTACTTGGATTTGTACAAAATGGAATCTGATCTTTTCACATCTCTTAAATCTAACTTATATTTAAATCGGTACAAACATATCGCTACTTTATTATGCCTTCCAAAGTCATATGTAATATTTACACACTGAAATTCATACTACTTTTTTAATGAATTACTTCCTTTATATTACAATTAATATATTACATTAATTTTTTAAAACTTCTGTATTAAGTTATACTTCCTATAAATTTTATTTCAGGATATTAAAGGGACATTATAAAATATTTGTCTTTAAAAGAAATTGCTGAGAGTCATTCGACAAAAATTGTGGGATCGGTAGCTCTGAAGGTCTGTCCCTCCACAGGAAAACTTTAAAAAATGATTAAAAACCATCAGAATCAACTATGGGAAACTCTGAAAAATAGTCACAAGTTCATAGTAACCAAAAAATAATTGCTGAATTAAGAAGAAACTTTAAAGTGGTAGACTCCACCCAACAACAGCAGACTGCACATTCTTCTCAAATGAACAGTATCAATGTCATACTGCCATACGATATTTTCGGGATTTGCAAGAATAGTTAACAATGGTTGATTCTGGGGAAGGAATCTAGATCACTGGGGAACAGAGGTGGGATGGAATCCTTCTGTATTGTTAAATGGCACCTTTGGAACTATGAACTACATTACCCATTCAAAAAAAATCTAAAATAACATTTTTTAAATAGTTGTATTCTGAGGCATTATCAGCCAGTACTCAAAGTAAACACTATATTGGTTTTATTCCCTGAGTATTCTTTATCATATAAACAGTGATGATTTTATCTTTTGTCCTATAGAAGCATGGATTCCTTTGAGCAGAATCAATAGAAAAATCAAAAAGCCAAGAACAAGGTACAGAACAAAGTCAAACACCATGAAGAACTTAGGCTGTCAGAAAAGTCTAACACTGCACTACTTAACGTGACAATATTGAATTAAAATTCAACAGTTGGGACAGGCCAAGAGAAGGCCAAACGATACTGAGTTTCTTGAGTGGAGATCAAGTTTATACATCTTGGTATGCTAAGCATCCAGAGCTGTAAGTAGGTGTTTACTGTGGTTTTTCTTTAATATTACCAATCATCTTAACATTTACAAGAATTTTAAAAAATGCAAAAGGTAGAGAATGTATTTCCAATAAACACATAATTTACAGATATCCTACATAATTCAATACAGTTTTGGCTAAATATAAGACATCTTCGTTCTTTTCCCAATTTCCGAACACCATATACTTAATTCTGATATCGGTCCTGTCCTAATTTGAAGATACATAGATATCTTCAGATGTGTGTGTGTGTGTGTGTATCTCTTTAGTTTCATCTTTTTCTGCTTTATCAAGGACGTGGCTCACTCCGTTTCAAAGAAGGCACATGCCAATATATGCTCTCTACAGCCCTTCTGCTCTCTAACAAATCACCCCAGTCACCTCTGGGACAGATTCTTTATTCCTTCTCTCTTTATGCTTGCAAGTCGCAAAAGGACCCAAACCTACATCAAGCACTGTAAGTTTTAAAGTAAAAATCAACATAATCCTAAAAATGCCATGTTTCATTTATTTTGATAGGTTTCTGAAGCAAAATATTGAGCTGGGTGATGGCATTTGGTTTATTGGATTATTCTCCATATACTTTTAAAAATTATTTAAAAAATAAAGAACATTATTTACAGGTCTTAACAACATACAGTATAATAATACGTTATGATCCCTGCAGGTGTCAATACTTTCCATTCTCCTATTTTCTTCAAGCATGAAATAAGCTGTTTCTTATTCAGTATCACTGTTCTTGTTTAATTATTGGTGTTCTATAAATTTTCAGTAACAGTTGCTATATTTTACCTTCCTGATGCATTAAATAACCTTATTGCTGCCCTGTGAATATAATTACCTATTTCTATAAAGGAAAATGAGTTCTAAGATCCAAAATAACCCTCTTAAAAATGAACTTTCCAAATGAATAGATTTATTTGTATCTTAAAGAAAACAAGGTAACTAAACATAATAAAAAACTAAAATGAAAGTATTTTATGAACTATCAAAACACCATAATGAAAAAAAATCAGTAAGTCTGATGCAAGTTTGAATGCGAGATAACAAGCATTCTTGATGGTTTATGTCCAGAAACATTTTTTACATTGAACAAAGGCTCTGATTCCAAATATTTATTTCAGTATATAGTACTTTTAAAAATATCTTTGTATTCTCTTATATTCTACTATTTCTCCCAAATGAGAGAAAATACTCAGGGGTTGAAAGACATATATTAAAGATGTGATAAGAGTATATGAATTATGTATCATTTGTTAAGAATCACAGAAGTTACTACTGATGTGCTAGAAATACCAGAAATTACCACAACATCATTATCCTGAAGTTCCACAGGAAAATATATATATTATATATGTAAATATATATTTACATCACTCTATCCACCACAATGTAAATAAAAAGTTTTCAACTTATTCCTGGTTGATACAATTATATGGCCACCAAGCTGACCTAGCACCACTTACCTCAGTGATTTGAGATACTATCTTTATATGTAATTTCCATACAGACTTGGACCTATTCTGAGCTTTTAGTTCCATTCCATTGGTTTATTTGTGCACCAATTACGCTATTTTAATTTACGGACTTTATAGTTTATTTTTGGTTATTCAAGTTTTTTTGATCACTGTGTCCTTAGAATTAATTAACATGAATGAAGACTTTCCAAGATCT